CTACCAGGCTCCTGCCCCAAACTTCACAAAAGCAGGCCTCCCTGCAGTTGTTCCAATTCCTTTCTGCACAGAAATTTCCTTCTGCAGTGTGTGATGCAGTTGCCCCTCTTCCTGGCCACCTAGATCTCTGTTCCACAGGTGCCATGTTGCTTCTCTTCCTCCCCACTATGACTGCTCAGTGTTGGTGAGACTTGGGCCTGTCTTGAGTCCCCTTCCTCATTCTCTCCCTGAACTATCTCATACTTTCCCAGGGATTCATATTCCATTTTATATATTATTTTGGAGTTGATGAGAATCCAAAAAGGTCTCATGTATTCTAGGGAAGTGTTCTACCACTGAGCAACATATCTAACTTATTTAAAAGTATACCAGCAATTCTCAAACTTACATCTCTGTCCCAAATCTTTCCTTGAGGTCCAGGGTAACAGATCTTAACTTCTCCAGTTAAATTTTTATGGACACCTCAAACTTGACAGGCTCCAAAGATTTTAACCCCTGACCTTGACCTGCAGAGACCCATAATAGCCAAAGGAGCAGTCGCTGAATTGGGCAAATGCATTTGAGGCTAGTCTTGCTATTTCACAAAGTGGTCCTATTCCTGATGTGAGGGCTGTGAACCAGGCAGCAAATTTAGGGTAGCTATATCAGATCAGTACCTCATGATGTAGTTCAGCCTAGCTTTGTATTCACTATGTAGCCCAGGCTAGCCTCAAACTCACAGCAATCTTCCTTCCTTAGCTTCCTGAGTGTTGGGATTACAGGCATGCACCACCATGCATGGTTTATCTGGCACATTTAAAATGAATGAAATAGGGCTGGGGATATAGCTCAGCAGCACAAGTGCCTGCCTGGCAACTACAAGGTTCTGAGTTCAATTCCCGTACCAAAAAAAAAAAAAAAAAAAAAAAAAAGAGTGAAATAGACAGAAGAGAAAAAGAACTTGGAAGTTGTTCCTATCCATGCTCCACTGTCCTCAATGGCATAAAGTGGGTTTGCCTACAGCACTCCAATAAATTCCTCATCTAACTTCACACTACTTGAGTGGATGTCTTTATTTGCTACCAAACAAATGTTAAGATACTTGCTATTTAGAATAATCTGGACTAGTTCCTAAATTATTTCTATTCAAATTCTGACCAGGGTTGTACTGAACCAACTGGTAATTTAGGAAAAAGTTTCACTCTTAATATGTTAAGTGTGTCACCACGTGTGGTGGTGCCACACCTGTTACCCCTGCACTTGGTAGGCTGAGGCAAGAGGATCATCATGAGTTTGAGGCCAGCCTGGGGCTACACAGTGAGTTTAAGGGTTGCCTGAGCTATATACTAAGACCCTGTCTCACCTCCCACCCCCCCAGAAAAGATACTATGTGTCTATAAATGAATAAGACTTCACTATTTATGTCTGTTTTCTTAATTTCCCTTTGAAGAATTTTTATGTTTTAAAAATTGAGTCACTAACCTACAAGAAAGGAAACTGTCAAGGATATAGTAAACCACTAATATGGAACACAACAGAAACAAACCTACCCATTGTGAAAGAGAAAAAAAAGACAAAACCAAGACTCAAGTATCTTTTGAACATAGTCTTTTTGTTTTTTGAGACAAGGTCTCAGTCTGGGGTTCAGGCTGGCCCTAAACTCATTATGCAGCCCAGGATAGCTACAAACTCATGGTGATCCTTCTGCCTCAGCCTCACAAGTACCGTCTGGGATTACAGGTGGGTACCACCAAACCTGGCTTGACCATAGTATTTTCACTGTATTGCCACAAACCAAAGACTTGTAGACAATATGTTTTTACAGTGGTTATAGATTAGTAATTCTGAAACTACCTAGTAGTCTAAGACTGAGCAAAAATATTGAGTAAATATATTAAAGATAACAGGAATCATATTTCTATTTTTTTTTAAAAGGCTGGGTTGTTACAAATATGGGAAGAAGAGTAGAATAAGCTCCGTGGTGTGAACTGGAAGTAATGATTTTTAATATAGTGACAGGTATGGGAACTGCTACAAGATGATGTTTATGTGTACCACACACATGTTTTGTAGCTCTCTGCTGAAAGGCCCTAGAAGTTACAATCTTTGGTAAAAATGCACATATCCAACATTCAGATCTTGTTTTCCAAAACCTTCTCCACAAAAAAACAAAAACAAACCCAGGACTTCTTGGGAAAAGAACTTATTTCATAGCTGGGGGACGGAACATATAGGATGAGCTCAGAAAAGTTTGCTGTCCCAGACAGCAAAGGAAGTGCTAACAAATGAAGGATGTCAAAAGGACCAGAGAACAGCTAGAAGCACCCCCAATGGCCAAAAGTGGGACAATCTGAGGATCTCAATAAATGACAAAAGCAACAAACTGGAACCCATTGAACATATAGGAATCAGTGAGCCCATACCCATAAACAAATAAATGGAGAAGACAAATTTCTTCCTTTGGTATTGGCATTAGAAGCACAAATCCCTGACAGATCTAAATGGGGGTAAAAACGTGAAAAACAGGTTGTTTATACAGATTCCAAGTCTCTTTCCAGAAAATACTTAATTACAAAGGGGAAGATAGTAACTTCACAGTGCAGCAAGCAAATGATAGGGTAATATCACCTGAAAGAGACAAAAAAAAAAAAATCATGGACCTCAAGAACATGCTCTTTTCTGGTTTCTGCCAAAGTCATCAGGAAACACTGGACAAATACAAGAGAAAGAACATTCCACAAGGTAAATGGCCCACTGCTTCAAAAATGTCTGTCATGAAAGACAAAGACTGGACTATTCTGGGCAGAGTGACATGACAGCTACATATGTGTGATTGAAGACTGGCTTCTAGACCAGTGAAAAACATTTCTACTTGCTATAAGGGACATCACTGGGACAAGTGCCAAAACATTCATAAAGCTTGTAGATTATGAACACCATCATCATTGATTCTCTGACTTTGACAATACTGTGGCTGTAGAAGAGGTCCTTGCTGGAAAGCACATGCTGACATTCTAGGGAAAAGGCATCCCATGTGTAGCTCGGTCTTGGGGAAAAACTGTCTTTATTGAAGGGGAAAAGAGAAGAAAATAAACAAAAGAAATGTTAAGTGGGGAATCTGAGTGGAGGGAGGTGGATATTCTTGGTGGTACTACAAATTTTCTGAGCCAAATTATTTAAAAAGTTTAAAAAATCACCAAAATGCAGGTTATAGTGGAACCAGTCATTAATAACTACTCAAAAATTCACGAAATCTACTTCACACACCCTGGGAGCTCTCTGCTGCCTTTTCAGCACAGAATCCACAATCTGTACTTTATGCCTCCTTTGCTGCTGGCAGAGAACAAGCATTAATTCTGGTTCTGATACAGATGCACAAGATACTAAGTCAAAGCAGAGTCAACACTTATCTGCTGGCCTAGGTCCAGAGCAGAACAGCGAGATTTCCAAGTCTACAGCAGCTCCCAAGTAGAAGGGTAATTATATGGAACTGTTCTAGAATCTTAAGTTTGCCCCTAAGCCTACTTCTTTAGTTCTAGTGAGTTAGAAATTCTAATAGTCTCTGAATATACCTAACATAGATGGTTAAGTATGAGGTACAGTTTTAAAGTTGCCACCCACACCATGTCATTCACTCTTCACAAAACTGACTCTAATAAGAACTCAGTTCAGTGCTAGGTCTCATGTTCCTTGATAGAGCTTACAGTTTTCAGGGAAGGGTAGGGAAAGGTAGGGAAGCAGGGATCTTGTGTGGCTACAAGAACTGGTCAAGAATCACCCACTGTACATGTACAATCATTCCACAGCACAGAGCAGGCCTCTGGTCAGAAAATCCACCTCAACTCCGGTAAGAATTTGAGTCCCTGGGCAAAGCCTGGACCCAACAGCCACCTCTGATGACAGGGTAGCATCCTAAGGCTTGGTTGGCTTCTTCTGTAAAAGGGCAGAAAGTAAAGACTCTAGCTTTTTGGGCTATACGGCATCTATCACAACTTCTCAGTTCTGCTATGCAAAAGCTGCCATAGATATCTGTAAGCCAATGGCACAGCCACATCCTGCCAGAAATTAACTGACAGTGTGCTGGATCTGGCCTGTAGGTCCTGTGACGCTCCTAGACTGCAACCTGTTAGCTGGTGTCTGGGGGGTCTCTCTAGTGAGACATGTCAAACCTGTTTTCTTTTCCTTTTTTGCCAGTTCAGGAGCCAGGGGCACGTCTCCAGGAAAATGAGCATAGAGGTTACTGAGTTGGGTCCAGGGAAGGGTGCCTAGGAGATACTCCAAAAGTATCTGGTAATATATGTGTCTTGGAAAAGACTGAGCATGGAAGCTTATGGGCAAGAAAATAAGGTGGAGAGATGTCTCTGGAGGTCTGCATAGTGAGGTATATAGAACTGGAGCCTAGGACTTGAGTCATAGCAGAGCAATGAGGAAGCAGCAGATCTGACTGCAGATATACATAAAGGAAAGTAGGAGAGTGGGGAAGTCTTGGGTGCAAATAGTATGAAGGAGTCAGCAAGAAGTGGTAAGGAATTAGTGTATCACTTCGAGGGAGGCTGACAGACTAACCAGATGTTCCCTTTGATTTTATGAAAACAAAGTATCAACAACAGCCACCAACAGAAAATTTACTCTTTATGATTAATTGCCAAACAAAAGAATTACTGTGGTTATCTACAACCAAAGGTCACTTTTTGATAACTTTTAACCATAATAATAAACTCTATTCATGAGTATGCAGCCATCAAAATCTTTTCTTCCTAACAAATATGGTAACTTGCCACAAACTTTTAAAAAACAAAACAAAATACCTACAAAATATCATATGAGGTGGAGCAATGGCAGAGGGAGCGAGCCTGTCAAGGGTGACATTAAGGAGTGCTCCAGGTTCTGTGGTGGTTGGACGTGTGGAAGATGGTTGAGTGATCCTGGGTTTCAGGTCTGAGAAGGTATAGAGGCTGAGATAAGGGTTGGAGGAGTCTGAGAGGAGCCTGGCTTGATTTAACTCCTCCCAGCCCACAGACTACTCCCTAGTGTGAATCAACTGGTGTTTAATCAACTTTGACCGCTGGCTGAACGCTTTCCCACAAACAGTGCAGTCATAGGGCTTTACCCCACTGTGAATCCTCTGGTGCTGGATTAGGACCGAACGTTGACTGAAGGCTTTTCCACACTCGCTGCATTTGTACGGCCTCTCACCAGTGTGGATTATCTGATGCTGAATAAGGTGTGAGCTCTGGCTGAAGCCTTTACCACATTCAACACATGTGTAAGGCTTCTCCCCAGTGTGAACTTTTTGGTGGTGAATAAGATTTGAGCTTCGGTTGAAGGCTTTACCACACTGGTTACACTCATGGGGTTTCAAACCATTATGAATCCTCTGGTGCTGAATGAGAGTTGAGCTCTGGCTGAAAGTTTTTCCACACTCAGTACATTCATAGGGTTTCTCTCCAGTGTGGACTCGCTGGTGAAGGATGAGGTTGGAGCTACGACCAAAAGTCTTCCCGCACTCATGGCACTCGTAGGGCTTGTCACCAGTGTGCACTCCCTGATGCTGGATTAGAGCAGAACTGTGGCTGAAAGCCTTCCCACAGATGCTACATCCATACGGCTTCTCTCCCGTGTGGATTATCTGGTGCTTCCTGAGCACTGAACTGTAACTAAAGGCTTTTCCACATATGTTGCACACATGAGGCTTTTCTCCAGTGTGAATTCTCTGATGCTGAATAAGACTGGAACTCTGACTAAATGCTTTCCCACAGTCATTGCACTTGTAAGGTTTCTCTCCAGTGTGAACCCTGTGATGCTTAATGAGGTTTGAGACTCGACTGAAGGGTTTGCCACAATCGTTACATTCATAAGGTTTCTCTCCAGTGTGAACCCTCTGATGCTTTCTGAGGTGTGCACTCTGGCTGAAGGCCTTCCTGCACTCCCCACACTCAAAAGGCTTTTCCCCTGTGTGAATCCTGTGGTGCTTAATGAGGTTTGAGCTCCGCCGGAAGGCCTTCCCACATTTGTCACACACGTATGGTTTCTCCCCAGAATGGATTCTCTGATGTTGGATAAGGTTTGAGCTCCTCCTAAAAGCCTTTCCACACTCATTGCATTCATAGGGCTTCTCACTCATATGAGACTTTTGGTGCTTTTTAAGGCTTGAATTCTGGCTGTAGGCTTTCCCACATTCACTACACACATAAGGCCTCTCTCTGCTGTGATGAACCTGATGCCTAGCAAGGTCTGCACACCCACAGAAGGCTTTCCCACACTCACCACACTGGTAGGCTTTTACACTCACAAGAGATGGCTGATGGTTTTTAAGAACTGAGTTTTGGTTGAAGGATTTTCCACATTCATTACACATAAAGGACTTCTCTCTAGTGTTGGCTATCTGACGCTGAATAAAGTCAAGGTTTCCTCTGAAGGTTTTTCCACACCCATTACATATGAATGGGCTTTCACTTATGGGAACACTCTCATGGTCAGTTAGGTCCTCACTGTGCTGGAAGGCATCAAGGCCACATGTGTCATACAGACGTGGTCTCTCTTCTATAGGGACTCCCTGATATGCCATCAGGCTTGGGCTCAGATTGAAGCTTTGGCCAAAATTATGACAATCCAGACCTTTCTCCCTTAAGGGATCCTGAAGAAGCACTGTCACTAGTGTGAAGACCCCCTTCTGGTGGAAGGGCTGTACCAGGCTCTCACCTCCAGGGACCTTCCAATCCTTTTCTATTATGTCCTTACAGAGTTCTCCAAACTCAGGCACCTGGGAAACATCATTTGCACAGTTTTCTGATATTTCTGCCTGTGATTTCAAATCCTCAGAAACATTTTCCTTCAGACAACACTCTTTGTCTTCAGTCCTGGTACCACAATCTGAAACAATAAATACCCAGTCATAGAAGGAATTGCTGTGACAGAACAACAGAACATATAGACAAGTCCGCAGGGCCGTTGGCTTCACCTTCTGCAGAGGAAGTATGCGGAACAGGGAACCCACCATAGGTAGTAGTCTAGATCTTGCAAAGGAACTAGAGAGCGGTATGGCAGAGCTCCCAGGTACTAATGCTACATAGAAGCTGAAGAGCAAAAACAATCCACCCTCCCCAGGATTCCACATTCCAGAGATGCACCTGTAGCTAGACTGTCGGGTCAGGCCAAGATACTGGGTGCCCCCAGTTCCTTTTCCTGTCATACTTGGAGCAATTCCTGTTGGCTCTACCTGAAAATATGCCCCCAAATCCATGTCCTTCTCACTCCTCCCACCCATACAAGGAAACCCCACATGCTGTTACATTATTACATATTTAACCCCTTTTCCTTCTCAACATTGTAAGGTGTAAGCCTCTTAGGCCTATCTTTTTTCTCTCAGTACCAGCTAATGATGTTCTGGTTTGGTCTTAACATTCAACAATATGAAGAGGCAGAGCCCTGCTACAGGTAAGAGAAGCCCATTTTTCTTCAGAGAAGCACAGACAGTTATGAGGCAGGCTGTTGACACTCCTGCTGACCTCTGCTCCAACACACCTCACTGACCCTTCACTGATTACTGAACATATGTACCAGTCTCCTCCTCTTCTTACCTGTCCCTGCTATCTCCTGCACTGCAGAGAGACTCCCTGAAACATGTCAGAAAGGACCCTTGTTGAGTTACAGTCACTAATGCTCAGTGATAGAGGACATTCTTCAAATGCTCTTGTTGCCTTCCTTGAGTCTGTCATGCCCATGTCTCACTTTCTTAGTATCCCTCCCTATGACATGTAGAACTGCTTCCAAGTCTAGACACATTCATTCCCAGCAGCTGCCCATGATGTCAACTTCAGATTCAACCTGGCCATGTGCTCAGCCCTCACAGATTCAGCTCCTTTTCCTGTTGCACCAGTTTCTCTTGATGTTACATGCACTGTTTACTGACACCTGTGGCTCAGATGCAATGTGGTTGTGCCTCAAATAACAATGCCCACATCCCCAGAGGTGCCTTGGCTCAACGGTGCATTTAGGATATGTGATATTCACACGATACTCAGTAGGAATAGAGGAAATGGTGAAGGGTACAGGGACAGTTAAGGTCTGGATGGGAGTCCACAGCCCTGCCGGCTATGGCCTGGAGCTTGCTGTACGTTCCCCCTCCTGCCAAGTCACCAGTCTGAAAGCCCCTTGGCCTCTTCTGGCTGAGTAGAAGGAACCGAATAGGGAAGGATGAAGGGCTGGCACAACACAGACAGCAATTAGTACAGCTTTTCTGTACAAGCTGGAAACAATGTATTTGACACTTTGTGGCTGCATGGTCTCTGCCAAGTGAGTTTTTGTTGCTGTTTTAAAATATCCCTTTAAAAACCCTCAGTATCAGTTTTAATTCACAGGACATATGAAACAGTCTGTTACCTGAATTTGGTGACCACTCACTGAGATGTCATCAGAGTGCACAAGAGGTGTGTGGCAATGGGGAAATGATTTTCTAGCCCGAGTCACTGGGCACAGCTTAGATGAGTCTTTCACAGAGATAGTGCTCAAAACTGATTTCTGTAAGTGAGAATGCTAGATCACTTTTGGACTTAAAATAAATCTGATGTAATTAATCTTAGCAACCTAAGAAACAATAAAAAATGGTAAAAGTTCTTCTCTGGAAAAGATACACAAAATCAGAAGTAAGATCTCCCTTTAGGAAAAATCTTTAAAATGTCAGTAAAATTTGGGATTAAAAGCAAAAGAAAAGATCTGAGCAAACGGCTGCCTGCACTATACTCACTATACTGAAACTCAGCTCTTCCAGAGCAAAAGACAAAGCATTTCTCTTGAGAGGAAACATTTATGATCAGTAGCTTCCAGGTACTGTATGCGGCTAGAGTCCCTCATCACAACAGCATCCCCGTGGCCTTGTGTGACCATGACCAATAAGCTACTATGGAGATGCAGTAGCAACCTTAGCGCCTTGGCCAGGTTGTCTCCGTGCAGACCCCAAGAGGAAGCTCACACTCAAGTGGGAAATCCATCAGTTATCTACCTCTTGCAGTGACTTGTTTCCCTTTAATAATTTATACATAAAATTCACTTACATAATTCTTCTACAGTGAACAGTTCACAATACTGTATAACCACCACTTATATTTTCTAAAACATTTCCATTGCTCTAGAGTAAAATCCCGCACAGCCAGGCATGCAGACATGTCCTGTGCCCAGAGTCCCAGCTACTTGAGAGAATGAATTAGGACTGCCTGACTCCAGGAATTTGAGGGCAGTCTGGGCAACACAGCAATATCCTAACTCCATACACCTCCAAAACTCTACTCAGTAAGCAGTCAGTCCCTATCTTCTCCTCACTCCAGCTCCTGGAAACCACCTACTTCTACTCTGTGCCTATTGATCTGTCTATTCTGGGTATTTCATATGATAGAACCATACAAAATATGACCTTTTATGTCTGATTTTCACTTGGGATGTTCTGAAGGTTCATCCATGTTGTAGCATGCTTCAGTATGTTTCTTTTTATGGCTGAATTATATTCCATGCATACTACAATCTATCCATGGACAGCTGAGTTGTTTGCATCTTTTGGTTATTGTAAATAGTGTTGCTATGAACACGATGTATACACACAGATTCTCCTTGATTTATGATGGGTTATATGCTGATAAATCCATTTGGAGGAATCCAGGTCAACATGATCACAGTTATCTTGGTTGTCATTGCCATTCTGCCCACTAGATGATCCTGACACATATCCCAAACCAAAGGACAGTCATTAAGATAGTCATCGGAACATGTTGTGCTAGCTAAACTAGCTAAACTGATGCTGAACATTTTAAGTTTTTTGCAGAAAGGCCAGGTAAGCTGGGTGTGGTGATACATGCCTGTAATCCCAGCACTTTGGTAGGCTGAGGCAGGAGGGTTGCCATGAGTTCAAGGCCGGCCTCAACTACATAGTAGGACACTGTCTGAAAAATACCAAACCATGCTGAGCGTGGTGATGCACACCTATAATCCCAGCACTAAAGAAGCTAAGGCAGGAGGATCACTGCAAGTTCAAGGCCAGCCTGGGCTACAAAGTGAGTACAAGGCCAGCCTGAACTATAAAGTAAAACCCTGTATCAAAAAGAAAAAACAAGGCTCAGTGGCACAGTGCCTGCCTGGCAAGTGCGAGACCCTGAGTCCAATATT